CACTGATAGCTCGACCTGACCGGGCCTAGCCCTGGCCTGACCGAAAGCCCGTAATGCTAATGACGCCTCCCGGAGCACAGCTCTGGCTGGCCTTTTCATTGCAGCAGCCCATCAGACCCGACCCCGACTAATCACAGGCAAACGCCAACAGCAAAGCTGCGTTTACGCTTCCGCTTCAGCGCGCTGCAAAGTCGAGCCAGAGACAGAGCCAGAACTAGAGGAGCAGCCGGAGCGACAGCGCAGCACAAGGCAGGAAAAGAAAAGCAGCAAAAGTGAAAACTAAACAAATAAAAGGGCACGATGAAAAAACTTTGAGTGCAAGTGGGAGTGTGGGCGTGTAGGCGTGTGCGTGGGTCTGGGGCAGAGAAGTTTAGCTCCGGCCCTAGATGCTCTCATGCATGCAAAAATGATGTCAACGGCAACAAAATGCAAAAAGTCACAGCTGAAAAAACGAATGCTTGAAGAAATATGCTCAAAGTATCTAAAAGCAGGTAGTGCATCCTGGCCCAACAGAAATGCTCGAGTTACACACACAGGCGGGCGGCAGCAGGGTATCTGCTGGCCGGGCAATCGCTCGACCATCATCCACTTCTCGGCTCTTTGCCTCTTCATTGTGAATACCCAATCGTCCATGGCGTAAGATGATGGACAACATTGATGTCCTCCTCCACTCGCAGCCTGCCCTCGGGCTCATCTCTTTCAATTGACAGCGGAGCAGATATGATTATCGACACTTTAACTTGCTGTCAAACTGTATTTTGCCAACACAAACTATTCAGCTGAGATGACTTAACAGCTAGTTAAACACTCTCAGGCTGGCTTTGTGTGCTGCCCGGCATTGGAAATGCGAGTGTGCGAGTGGACATGGGACCAACAGTGGACTGAGTACGAGCCAGACCGAGATGGGAAGCAAGCAGCCTTGCTGGTATTTGAAATAGACAATAGCAGACTGTGGCCATGGCGTGGAAAGCCAAGCAAACGACACAGACTGTGTCAATGGGGAGAATAGAGTCAGGGAGAATAGAGTTCGACTTCAAGACTGCTTGACTTATATAGATATGTATATTGAGATAATACTATCAGCTCGACTTAAACATTATATATTTAAATTATAAGTAAAAACAAGTAATAGCGTTTCAGTTGGGCGTTTCCGACTGCAGACATCCCATCTTCCCATATGCCACACCCTCCCACGGTATATAAATATGTACAGATAGATTCTTTTTTGGCAATTCAATAGACAATGATAAAAACATTTTAATCTTTAAGTTCTGAGTTTCTATATCTTATACTGCGCAAAATACATATTTTCCCGATTTGCCACTCCCCACTGTGCGTAGATAAATAAATTTTGACTAGTTTTTAGAGCGAGCCATAAGTAACGTAACTGTGGATTGGAATGTATTTGTATGTTTCTAACTTTTACAGTGTAGGAGATTTGGACTTGTACAGTTTGCCACGCCCCGTTTTGCTCTTTGATCTTTGCGGGTCCACATTCAAAGAATATACAGACAAAACTTTAACTTTCTAACTCTTCAACAAATATGATTTCCAGCATTTCCTGATTAACCACTTTATAAATTGATCAAAAAGCAAAGGCGAGAATAATGCCAACATTACAACATATATTTATACTTACATATATACACTTATGTATATATTTATATACTTACAAATATTTTCATTGATGAACTTTGATTTATGTAAGTTAACCGCTGTAAATTGGAAGGAGGTATAGAGGTAGGAATATACATACATATGCTTAATATGTACCAATCGATATAGTTTGCTCGCCAATCTAGGCGAACGTGTCATTTATACTAATGATTTTTATTGCCTTTCTATGGCAAGCGTAAATCATACTTCTTTCATGTAATTGGCATATCCCTAATATCGTTAGAAGATAGAGTCCCCAAATTCGGCATGGATATTTCAATAATAACATTTACATTTATGATGTGAACTATGATAAGTTTGTGGTTTTTATTGGGGTATTGTTCCATTTATAAACATACATATACATATATAATGCCATAATTGACATGTTTTCAAGGGTCAACTGACAGTTAATTATTAGAACCTGCCGTCAAGCGCTGCCTTTTGAAGTAGTTTCTTGTATATCTGTTTTTATATATATTTCAAATTTATGCAGCTCTGTGGTTGTGTCATAAAAAGCTGAGCAGATGTCAACTACAGCAGACGGCATAAACGTTCAAACAAAACAAAGAATCTCAATGTAAGTAACAGTGCTTTACACAGAAATGCCTGACTAGGATATACCCCGTATCCTACCAGAGCTGCTTTTCCTACCAAACAATGGAAAGTGGCTTTTGTGTGTAAAAATCAAATTGTTAAATGATTTTAGAAATCAAACTAATATTGCAATTCGTTTTATAGGGCTTGTCAGTCGAGCTAGATGCAACCTTATCAATTATAACACTATCGTATAACTGGAATCGTAGTTTACTAGCATCCGAAAGAATTTCGACAGCAAATTAACAAAAGCAAAAGCTAAGAGCTCGAAAAGCTCGATGGGATTAAAGGTATTGCAAATCGCAGCATAACTCATTATGCATATTTTCGATCATTGTATTTACGGGATTACGATTGACTTTAATGTATACAAATTAAGTGTTTTAAGGCAGTTTTATGAGAGTTTGGATTGTAATGAGTTGACTTCATTTTTTGGAATAAGTGTTTGAACAAAGGCTCCTCCAGTAGAGGAGCTCTGCAGTTCTGACGAGTCAGTGAGTTGGCAATAATGCTTATAGAGTTTAGAGCATTAGATTAATGAGCACAGATTTAAGGCGCAATGTCGCCAATACGCCTATAAATATGATAGCAGTTGATTAATGCGTGGCAAAGTTGGAACGCTGATAAATGAGGGCTTAGAAACCTTTACGACTTGGTTTGATCAAATCAAGGTAAACATATTGAAATAGGGTATGTATATACATATATGTATATTATACATACTTATGTAACAATTATTATGTATACAATTGTTTGTTTAGTATAATGAAAGGGGTAATGATATAATTAAGCAGATTATTGAGGATTCTACTTAAGCTCCTTCAAAACACAATACGTCTATCACTCGACAGAGCTTCTAATGAAACTTTACATATGGAGCATTTATGAAGGATTCTTATATTAAAGTCCCCAGGTGCCCTTATGGTGTTATAATATTTACGAGTATCTCATCAAGAATATGTATATTTCCTTTCCTCTGTTTCCCATATATGTACATAAACGCACATCCTTTTATAACACATTCTCGATGGCAATATTGAAAACAGGAGAATAAATTTACACCATTCACCTACAGATCTATGTACATTTACACTCATATACATATATAATATATATATATATGTACGTCGATATCTTATATACAAAATATTTACATATATGCAAATGTAGGCAAAATGTCACGCACTGCATACTGAATACAGAATATCGAATATGTGTATGTATATACATATGTGTGTGCTGTGTGCTGTGGCTGGTCAAGCGAAAGCCGTGTGAAATTACAGTTTGAACAGCACTGAGCCATGCACTGGGCACTGCACTCGGACCAAGGAAAAAAAAAAAGAAAGGAAAACGCTGGGCCTGTGGGTAGCTTGAAACATTCTATTGTCCTGTTGGCTTGACCGACGCGTTTTTATCTCTTCCGCTTCTCTTTTTGTGGCACACGTTTTTTTATGGCTGCCTCTAAAATTGAGCGCGTTTTTCTGGCGTCAATTTCTGCTGGGAGGGGAGCGCCTTTGGCAAACAAATTGTGGAAGACTCCTCCCGTCTATTAACCATGGGCTACATGTGTACGTGCCACGCCCACAGGCCGCACACAAAGCGCTGCAAGTGAAGTTGACTGATGGTCAAGTGACCAAGCTGACATGAAAAGTACAGGCCAAAGGCCACAGGGCAGTTGGCAACGGACCACGGACAATGGGCAACGGGCGCAAGGGGCAAGGGTCAAGGGGGCTAGGTGGTGGCGGAATTCTATGCCCACATTTGCGTAACTGAAGAACGTAAAAGTCTACGAAAATTGCAGAGCAGTTTGTTGGCCAGCTTCCGATGAATAATGGCGAGCAGGAAGCAAAAGTGCCCAAGTCTAGGATGACTGACTAGAAGATACCCTCATAGTGATTATATGTAAGCCTATCAAACAGTTGTCCATGTTCAACGGACCATTACATTCCGATAATAATCATTTGATTTGGTTCAAGTAAATTTGCTGATATTACTATTTAAATTCAATATCGTTATGCGACCATTTAGCATTGAGCTAATACGGCGTATTCTGCTCGTCGCAGTGGGATGCAGGGTTGCCAGATGGATCCAGGGGATATGGACCGCCCTGTAAGTGCAAAATGTGGAGACCCCATCTCTAAAGTACGAGACAGAATGACAACTAATTTGTTTTGATCGATAATCGAGCAAAAGCTATCGATTTTTTGAAACAAACTTGATCCGTGCGTGCTATATAGCGACTACGGCACATACATATGGACAGACAGACGGACAGGTCTCAATCGATTCAGCTCGTCATTCTGATCAAAAATATACATATATGCATTATGGGATCTGCCACGCCTTCTTCTACCACTTACACACACTCTCACAAAAGCAGTATACCCCAAAATGCATTTTTAATGGGTATAAAATACGCTTGCAGGCAATGCAAGGCGAATAGCTTTACTTTGTCTCCTCTACTAAAACAGATTTGAGTTTGGCTAAGCAAAAATTACAAGTCTAGGAAGTTTATGCTTGATATAAAAGTCTTAAGTGAATAAGTTTATGGTATAACCAAAAGCCTCGACTGGGCCAATGCATTTGACTTGGCTTCAAAGTGCACAAACTTGTTGTTAAAGTTATACTAAAGATACCAGCACAAAATGTTGCAAGCGAATCAGAGATGAAACCAACTTGAAAGCACTTTATCGAAACGGGCAGATTGAGAGAGGGATAAGAGAGAGAGAGAGAGAGAAAAAAACTGATTTGCATGTCTATAAAATGAACTTGGTTTATTTTAGGCAGCGCTGTTTCCAATTATCTCGTGCTGCCGCCAGAGCTGTTGGCTGTACAGGGGAATATTGATCTGGTGGCTGGGCTGCGCCTTTTCCCAGTCGTCCGGCTGCAGGCCGTGCACATAGATGGCGCCGATGTATGCCTCGGAAGTGGACTGGTCCGGTCGACGGCCCAGCACGCCGATGTCCTGCAGCTGCACGGGTCCATCGAATTTGGCTAGATAGTAGCGCACACGCCAGTTCTCGCCCAGGGCGCCGCGCTCCAGGGGCAGCTGCTCGTGCAGGAGGCTGGCCGGCAGCGCGCCACCTACCGGCGAAATGTAGCAGGTATCCTGCGTGATAACGTTCTCCCCGTAGTCGCCGCAGAAGATGTACGCGTCCTGCGTGGGCTGCTGGGGCGGGCAGAGCCGCAGCACCACGTCCAGCGCGTGCCTCTGGTCCGGGGCGCTTATCTTGTAGGCGTAGCCCAGCAGCAGGATGCCCTGGGGCAGCTGGAACTCGGTGAGGAACAGCCGGAAGGCGCGCACATAGTTCACGATTCGCAGCGCGCAGCCACCGGCGTAGGCGGTGTCAAAGCTGTGCTCCGCATTCCCGCCCAGCGGCACCGACGGCTGCAGCTCCTGGCGCGCCAAATTGAAGAACGGCTGGCCGGTGCGTTGGCGGGCGCCGCACTCGAAGCTGTTGCGGCCCGAGCCCACGCAGAAGTTCGTGTAGAAGGGCAGCCGGCGATAGGGATGAGTGGCCAGGCTGGGCCACAGCCGGGCCCACCAGTACTCGTTCCTGAGCAGGAAGGCGGCGTTCACCGACTCGTCGCCGCTGCTGTCGCGTATGTTGTAGTTGAACTGCTGCAGGGTCTCGAAGCACCAGGCGGGCGCGAAGATGCCCGCGGAGAAGCCGCGCGCCGCAATCCTGGCCAAGGTCTGGGCGCTGCGGAAACGCCCCAGCTGGCCGCGCCCAAACACGTCCAGGCCCATGAACAGGCGGTGCGGCGGCGCCCCCTCGCGTTGAATGGTCGCCTCGCTGTTGGCCAGGCTGCGATCGTCCCACGAGTAGTTGACCAGGGTGCCGTGGCTGGCCCGGAAGAACCGCACGTTGCGCTCGTTCAGCTCGTTCTGCCACTGCAGGTTGCCGCTGCTGACGACGCTGTCGTACCAGAAGACGCGTCCGCTCGGCACCTGCGCCTCGGTCAGGCGGCGCAGCTCCTCCACAAACAGGCTGCAAAGTTGAGTTGGGCGTGGGGTGAGCAATGACTGAGGTACTCTGGTTTCAGTAGATGTTACTCACTAGAGATTGGGCATTGCCTTGGGGAGCACCTGGCACTCGACATTCACCAGCCAGCCTTCGAAGCCGAAGTGGAGGCAGAGACGCGTCATGGCAGTGACCGCGCGGTGGACGCTCTCGGCGCTGGCGAGGACTTCGTGGAGCAGCTTACTGCCGGTGCTGCCCTCGACTATGTAGGTGCCCAGGACGGGGACGCCGTGGCGATGGGCGGCGTTCAGCCAGCCGCTCGGCGGAATGGTCACGTAGTTGTGACTGAAGTAGCAGAAGTAGTCGACGGCGGACCAGTGCAAGAAGCGGTAATCGTCGTACTTCTGCGAGCTGTGGTAGTGCCTGCAAGGGAAAGCCGGTGTCTTAATTGTCGTCACATGTGTATATCGAATGCTGGCGCACACTTACCGATCCGTCAAGTAGTTGCCCATCATGTCGTGGCAGACGAGCAACTCGCGCCGCGCGCTTCTGCGCCGATGGTTGCTCAGCAAGTCCGACTGCCTGTCCAGGTAGACGGCCTCCCCGCGCACCTGTACATCCAGCGGCCGCACATAGAGCTTCCAGTCGATGTCGCGACTGCGCACCTGAAACTCCAGCAGCTGTGTGTTGTCCAAGATCGGCTCCGCCTCCAGCTGGGCTGCAATGGCGCTTGTTAAAGTGGCTTGCATGTGGCCAGCGAATATGGGAATGCACGAGTACGCGAATGTGCCTAGTGCCGCTGCAGCGACAGCTGTTGCCAGCTAAATGACTCCAGCGCCGGCAGCCGCGGCTGCATTTATCGGAGCCCGCATGGCCTTGCGCTATTATCGCAAACTTAGAAAACTGCGCTGCATCCGCCTTCGATGCAAACTTTCAAGGCGAACAATAAGCGATTAGCTCGCTCAATATCAAACTTCCAAGTAGAGGCAAATCTCCCTCTGCCCCAACTGCGAAAATGGAGATTGGAATGAAGCTACTGCGAACTATTATGAGCATAGTATTTATAATATCTCAACAACTTTCGGTGCTCTATATTTTTATTATTTATAGAGATAGACGGATCTCCATAAACTTGGAGCATACGCGTGAGTGAAAGGGAAATTAATTTATATAATTTACACAGATCTACTTAGATGAACCGTAAGAGGGGGAGAAGGAGACAAACATCTACTAATACTTTCACCAGCCGAGAGAGCTACATAGATTATCCGTAAGATAGAGAAAGAGATGGAAATCTATATATGTACTTAGATTATCCGAAACAAAGATCTACATTGAAAATATCCAGCTTAGTGAGAGATTTACTTGAATCATCTAAAAGAGAAGGAGAAACAGACAAAAATCTACTAAGAGTTGCATCATCCAAGAGCTGGAAAAAGTGAATTTTACATATGGATTATTCAAGAGAAAATGAAACAGATATTCGGAGAATACATACACTGTCAGAAAGAGAGAGAGAGAGAGAGAGAGAGAGAGAGAGAGAGAGAGAGAGAGAGAGAGAGAGGAGTCTATATACTTGGATTACCCGAAGGAAAGCGGTCTATATTGACTTGGACAATCCCAGAGAGCGAGTGATCTAAATATACGTATAATACGTTAATATACGATAAATCCGAGAAACAGAGGGCGAGAGAGAGAGAGAAAGATAGAGAGACTTACATATACTAAACTGTTTTATGCATATATAATGCTTTAAGTTTCTATTGCTAGATCGTTCTATATAGCTATAAAGCTATCGCTGAATGACTCTCATTTTACTTGCTTGATGGAGATCGCGCCTTGAGATTCGCTTGTACGACCACTTGAACCGCTTGGCTTCGGGCTTGACGCAACTTTAATGCGACGCCAATGCAAGGCAATCTTAAAGGCAAAAACTGCAAAGTAAAATTCAATCTAGATTATGTGAATAATTCATGCGGTCAGCCCGAGCACCCAGACCACCCAACACCCATTGCAGCATTTCAATTGCAGTTCCTAATGTGCAGCAACAGTGCCTGCAAATGCAATGGTAGCATCAGCAACAGCGTCAGCAACATCCGCAATGTCCTGCAACGACGACTGTTGTGGTAAAAGTTTGCGCCGTCAAAACGTCAATAGGGCAGAGGTGGTGAGGGCTAGGGGCTAGAGGGTTGCGGGCTGAGCCTAGGGGCCGGTGGCTGGAGCAGTTTTGTGCAATTTGTGCGCTTACGGAAGCCAACGAGGCGTTTGAGCGGAACTTTAATCTATCATTGCTGCAAGGATATGGATTTTACACTCGCACACCGCCCCGAATACCAATGAGAGTTCAGCGAGGCCAAGCGAATATTCATATCTCCTCTATTTGTGTGCGCTATTCAGAGCTTGAATGCACGTTGATTGGACCAACCCCAGAGGCAGGCAAGGCCCATAGAATGCTGGATTCAGATGTATGTATATTGATAGATCTATACACAAACAGTTCTGGTCATAAAGTTAGCAGCGATATACTATACGAAGCCTAAGGTAAAAGAAAAGGGTAAATTTGATATTGAATGGGAGATGTTACTGGATGCACAGCTGCAATTTGATGCCACAGACCACAGAAAACATATTATGTTTATTGCTAACTGCTGTTGTCCAACATTTACTGCTAAGTGCATTATTATTTTGATGACCACACCAGTGTCTTTACAGATATAAAAATAAGTGATAGAACTTCAATTAAAATTGACAACGTATCACATCAACTTTTATCGAAACTATTAAAAAATATTATTATATTTGATCATATAACTTATCAAAGTGGCTAGACAGCGTCATTAATCATCTCAATTTTAAGTACATGGATTATAAGATATGATTGTAGTTGTTATGGGAGGAAATGGACACAGTATTAATTATATATTTACACTCATTCCCGAAAATGTTAGGAGTATATTAGTTTTGTACAATGTCTGTCTCTACAGAGCTGAAATATGAAATGCATACGCGGGTTGACTGACCAAAATCACAAAGAGCTAACAGCAAGTTCACCTGGCCCAATCTCCGTTTAATTTTATCAAATAGTTTTTTCTTTTTATTTCTGGAGGAAGTATTTAGTAACTACTCAATTTTAAGGGTTCGATGTACTTGTGTACATCATTTGACAAAGGAACGGTAAGGGCATATTTTACTCCTATTCGCCAATTTATAATTTATGGCGATACCAAGGGATATATGAATTAAATATCAACTACCCAACGCTACAGAGCTTGCAACAGAAATCCAATTACCCGTAGTTCCCTGGTGAACGCAATTTGATGAGTTCACTAAAGTGACTAAGCGAGCATTAGTTGACTAACCGTGAACAGTTTAACTCACTCTCTCTTTCTCTGTCTCTCTTTAAGGGTCGTGTAAACAAATGTATGTACGAACAGTGCAGCTTCAATAAAAAAAAAACGTTCGCCCATTCCAACTTGATCTAAGTTATGGGGCATCAGAAAAATTGGAAGTATATTTAATCTCCACATATCATCATGTAATATGATACATGTATGTACATAAATGCCATGAATTCAACATATACACTTGGTTCCCGTACAAGGAAACATATGTATAACATATTTGTTGTTTCTTAGTATCGATCAACATGATTATTTTGAGCTTGATTTTAAAACGTGTTTGGGCATCTCTCTGTGCACATTAAGCCCAAAGCACACTATCAGGAAAATGTGCATGTGTCAGCGCTAGGCAGGCTCTACTGTACGTGTTGTTTGACAGCAACTCAATAGATAACGCTGTTTTAGCAAACACAGCCTACTAGGTAAATTCCCGCTGTTATCTTTGTCAAATTTCCCGAACATGTCACGAATCGTTCGTCATACTGAGTAAACACTGTGGTCAGCACAGCAGTAAAGCTGATCCGGATGACCATTGGATGGAGCTACACAGATGCGGCAGAGAGCGCGCAGTTTGTCTGTACAATTTTCAGATTTTGCGGCAATGCATTCAAAATCGGTGCCAAAATACTTACGGCAGCCCCAGGGGCACATTTTTTTAGCGGTGCATGAACTCAGCTGTTGGCCGGCCCGCGCATCTGCAGCGGCTGCCGCTGTTGCTTCCTCTCCGACGGCCGCGAGGCACGGCGCCTCGGGCAGCGGCAAGTCGACGTTTTGTTCCGCCATTTGCGCGACGGCTTGATCCGAAATGTTGGCCAAAACTCAGCGACACCGCAAAAGACAAGAGAAAGACAGAAAGAAAAAAAGTCGAAATCAAAACAATTTTGGTGACACACGCAAACAGCTGTTCGGCAAGTGTTGGTAAACGTGCAGCAGCTGGCAGTGCTGCCGGCTGTGTGTTTGAATTTGAAATCGAAATTGAAATTGAAATTGTTTTTGCTGTTTATTTATTAATATAAGATGGTTTTATGTATAAGCATATTATTTATTATGTAATATTTCTCTGCTCCTTGCAGCTAAAAGCAAACCGAATACAATTTGCCAGCATCTCGTCAAGGCCGCGCTGCAGTTGGATATAAATTGTAATTAGAGAAGTGACCGAAAAGTTTTCTGGCATAGCTGCCAAGTGGAAAATAAAAGCGAAGCGGGACTCACCCGCTCACCATTTATTGCGCTCGGGTATACGTTTTTTTCGATTCGTTTTGTTTTTGTTTTGGCAACTAGTAGACGCATCAACGGAGCGAAATGCCAGCGGGACGCGTGGCTGGCAAGGCCGGTTACTCCAATCACTATTATAACGGTACGTATACGGCGGACAGCCCTGCCCGAATGGGAACTGGTAATAAATGGCATTTAAAATGCATTCAATTGAAATGCGCAGTGAGCATGCTCGATGAAATGTGATTAATCCTGATTTCCTGTAGCAGAATTCAATTGAACTACGAAATGCTTATCAATAAATCCCTCTCTCTTTCTGTTTTTCTTTCTCGGTCTCTGTCTCTTTGTTTTCCTCCCTGGTCAACCATAGGGCGCTCGTATGTGGGCATTAACGAGGAAATAATGTGGGTCAGCATTGGCATGGGCGTGACCATTGCCCTACTCATTACAATCGCCCTGTGCTACATCGCGAGGGAGAAGTGCCAGAAACGTCAGCGCGAATATTACGTGACGGCATAGTTAATGTATGCAGCTAGCCACAAATGCATTCTCCAGATGGACGTGGATGTGGACGTAGGTAGGGAGCGCCGCTTGTCAATTACAGCAGCCATGACAGCAACGTCCCAAGCAGAAGCGCAGCACGAGCCCAAGCCCAAGCCCGATCTTGACCCCGATCCCGAAGCAAACCCGAAGCCGGAACAGGAGCACGCACAGGAGCAGGAGCAGGAGAGGGAGCGGGAGCCGGAGCCAGCTGTTACCATCATGAACTGGACTGTTGTTGACATTTGCGGCGCTCGCAGTTGGGGCTAAGCCAACGGGAAACATAACCCACCATTCAAAGCAAACACCCACAAGAGCACATAAACACACACAAACACACGAAAATATATATGCATGGCACAGACGGCTGTCATAGGCAGCCCCTTACATGTGTTTATTTGAAATTTTTTTTGTAGTCAAAGAAGTTGTTGTAAAATCTCTAAGAATGAAAACTGTATTACTTACTATAGTCAAATTGTCATTAAATTTGCCAAGATATAATATATATATATATATTAAAAAACAAAGGCAGTCGCAGTGTTTTATTTTGCTGTTTTGAATTGCGCGCGCATCTTACAAACTTTGCAGCACTGGCGCTCTGTTTACGCGCACTAACCAGCGCTGCCACTTGACAACACTAATTTTGCAACTCTGTTAATCGACTGCTTGTGTGAACTGCTTGACTGCTGGGCAATCAGCTGTCATACAGAGCGCGCACGTTTTTCGTTCAACAAATCGTGTTTGACAAACAAATGCATAAAAATGGATGAAAATATAACATTGAACGTATGCAGTAGGCCAGTGCCAAAAGCGAAACAGGTGAGTGATTCATTTATCATACAAATCAGGCTCTTTTCAGTTTCAATTTACTGTTTGCCAGGCGCTGCAACCGTCAAAGCCACAGAAGAAGCAAAAACGTGCTGGTGCCTCGTCGGGATTCGACTTTCAATTCAATGTGGACAAGCCCAAAGTCAAGGCGCTCGTGGTGCGGCGTCGTGCGCCAGTTACCAAAAAGCAGCCAACTGCTGCCGCAGCCAGCGTCACCACCAGCGCCACAGCCACCGGCACCAACACACCCACAGCCAAGGCCAACGGCTTAGTTCTAGGCGCTGACAAGCCCCAGGAGGATGCCGTCAAGAAACAGCCGAAAGAGACGAATGAACAAGTTGATATAATGTTAAATGTGCACACAGCACCTGTCACTAGCAGCATCAAGGAGAAAGAGGCGAAGAAGGCCCATAAGGAGCCGCGTCCAGCGTCCAGAGAGCCGATCTTCAATGCCAGACAAGGCGCTGCCATAGACAAGCAGCTACTGAGGACGGCTCTGAAGGGCAAGCAGCGCAAGGAGAATCCCAACAAGCAGCCACGAGCTGGCGACCTGTTCAAGGCGCAGCTGGACGAGGAGCGCAGGTTGAAGCGCGCCGCAGAGGAGCAGTCCAAGGCGGTTGAAGACGCAGCAGAGAAGCCAGCGGCGCCACCTACACAGACGACCAACAAGTTCCGCACCAAGAAGATTGGCCTCTTCGACCAGAGCGATGTGGCGGCGCTCAAGCAGCTGGGTCAGCGCGCCGTCAAGCCCGTTCGGGAGACCATTTTTAGCGGCACCAAGGTGGAGAGCTTGGGCCTGCATCCGCACGCAGTGAAGAACCTTTCGGACCTGCTCAGCATCAGCCAGCTGACGACAGTGCAGCAGAAGACCATTCCCCATGTGCTGGCCGGCAAGGATGTGCTGGTGCGCTCGCAGACTGGCTCGGGCAAGACGCTGGCCTATGCGCTGCCCCTGGTGGAGCGGCTGCAATCGCAGCTGCCTCGCATTAAACGCACCGACGGCGTCGTGGCGTTGGTCATTGTGCCCACGCGCGAGCTAGCGCTGCAGACGTACGAGCTGTTCCAGAAGCTGGTCAAGCCATTCACCTGGATCGTGCCCGGCGCCCTGCTGGGCGGCGAGAGTCGCAAGAGTGAGAAGGCGCGGCTGCGCAAGGGCATCAATGTGCTGCTGGGCACCCCGGGTCGGCTGGTGGACCATCTGCTGCACACGGCCTCCTTCAAGCTGTCCAAGCTGCAGTTCCTCGTGCTGGACGAGGCCGACCGCCTACTCGAGCTGGGCTACGAGCGCGATGTGAAGCAGCTCGTGGAGGCCATCGACAAGCATCGCGCCGAGGAGCCACAGGAGCCGCCAGTGGCTCTGCAGCGTCTGCTACTCAGCGCCACGCTGACTGCCCAGGTGCAGCAGCTGGCTGGCCTAACGCTCAAGGATCCGCTATACATCGACAACAGCGACGAGGCAGCCGATGCTGCCCTCAAGGGTGCCAATGGCTACGACAAGGACACCATTGAAGCACAGCAGGAGGACGGCCTCGGCGAGTACATGGAAGATGTGACGGGCGTGCTCAGCATACCGGAGAACCTGCAGCTCAGCTATGTGGTGGTGCCGCCCAAGCTGCGCCTGGTCACCATCTCGGCGCTGTTGGCCAAGGAGCTCGCCGCCAGTCCGAAGCAGTTCAAGGCCATTGTCTTCATGAGCACCACGGAAATGGTGAACTTCCACCACGACGTGCTCAACGAGGCGCTCACGCGTCGCGTCCTCGACGAGGACGACGAGCAACAGGCCAAGGAGGAGTCGGACGAGGACGACGAAGACGAAACGCCTCTGCTCCAGGGACTCCGCTTCTTCAAGTAATGCCAGTCGGTGCTTTCAATGAATCTCCATATGACTTCCGTCCTCTTCCTTTCCAGACTCAATGGCTCCATGACGCAAACGGAGCGCCAGGGCGTCTTCCGTGGCTTCCGCGACTGCGCCAGCTGCGTCCTGCTGGCCACCGACGTTGTTGGCCGCGGCATCGATGTGCCCGACATCAAGCTGGTGGTGCAGTACACGCCGCCGCAGACCACGGCGGACTTTGTGCATCGCGTGGGTCGCACGGCGCGGGCAGGACGTCGGGGACGCGCCGTCCTATTCCTGGCGCCCAGCGAGGCGCAGTACGTGCGGCACCTGGAGAACAAGCGCATCCGCATCCAGCAGGGCGACATGTACAGCTATTTGCAGGCACTGTTGCCGCGCGACCCGGAGGCGCGCACTGTCCAGGAGGCGGCGTCCAATTTGCAGCACAAGTTTCAGTCGCTGCTCGAGGAGGATCGCGAGCTGCACGACAAGTCCTGCAAGGGTGAGTTCGACCGTTCCTTCAGTTGCCATGGCTAGCACATACCCCACTCTGGGCTTCACCTCCGCCCCCTCCTCGCTGACCACTTAAATGCAACTAGCAATTTAATCCTTTCACCAAAGGATATTAACTTTGTAATTATGATTTCTTTTTTCCCAACACAAATTTCGCCGCACTTCGGAGGGCTCGAAAAACAAAAAGTAAAAAAAGGAATGAAGGGAAAACAAACACAGAGATAGAGTGGGAAAGAGAGACATTCCACTCACAGCTATCCGCTGGCGTTTTCCAATTATAAGTTGGACGTTCGCGCCACGCCCCTGCGGCCAGCCGCCCACTTGTACGCTGGCAACGCGCGTAAAAAACGCTAAAAATTATTTCATATTTGAAGTTAATTTCGATTGCGTGTCGAAGCCAGCCCAGCCCCGCCCCGCCCAGCCGCCTCTACACTCAGTCCGTGTGCGTGTGTGTGTGTGTGTGCAGTGACAGTGACCAGTTCCTGTCGTCGCACCGTTATCCGTTGTCCTTTTTAGCCTCGCATACCCTGGCCTATCCAGGGCATTCCCACTGGGCGACCAGTCTCTGCACTAGCCCCTGGGCAGGGTATTGTCGCATTCGGCGTTGGCCCTGTTCGATATCTTGTTTTCTCGTTGTCCTGTTAATGTCCTGTTGAAATTGTAATTGCAGCGCGGTAAAGGAAAAAGTTAATTAGATGTTACTAAGGCTGCCGCGACGCGCCCCCAAATAATAAAAAAAAAGAAGGGACATCGGACGGGATAGCTGTATAGGGGTTGACATTATGCCAGTGGTCGGGGGGGTCAGATTATGATTGAAACATAAAAATCAGAAGAGCTCTCCTGCCGCTCCCACACCCTCTCGTACAATTTGGATGCAGAAATGAATCACGAGTGAAAAACAAAAATAACTGAAGAGCAACAAGAAACGGAAATTGGGCGAGATATGCGAATGCAAAACAATAAGCCAAAGTAAGAGATGCTGAAGTAGTTGATGACGATGACGATGACGATGATGATGTCGTTGTTGATTGGAAAGGGACAACAGCAAGCAGAGGAAGAGAAACTGGCAGCCAAAATGGCAACTCAAATTGCACTTAAGCGTCGAGTCAAGCGTCAAGGCAGGAAGCCGCTTGGCAAAACTTGAGAGGAACTCGCCCAAAGGAGCACGAATGCTGGCTAGACTGCCACAGTGATGCAGAAAGTGAGTGAGGGCGAGAGAGACAGAGATAGTGAGAGAGGGCACGAGAGCTGCAGTTGCTGAGCTGCGTCCAATCAAAAAGCCATTAAAAAGTATTACGCTTGAACAAAACTGTACAAAGCAGCAGATAAAAGCATTTAGAAGCACAACAGAGAAAAGAGAGCAACACAGCATGCAAGTCAGAGTCAGAGTCAGCGTCATAGTCAGTGGCAGAGAGGAGGACAAAGCCAAAGACAAGGACAGAGAGTTAGAATTTATACACATACATCCCCTGCACATATACATATGCATATATATCTATGTGAGGGGCGACAGGACGCTCAGCTCGAGCTGCATGCGCGAGTAATTAAAACTATTCGCATCAAGGAAACTCACTTCTTGCTCAAGTCTCTTCGAGCAGGTGGAGCGAATGCTAATTTTGAAATATATGTAAAGCAGATAAATGTAATAGCTTACAGTACCCAGAACCTAATTATATGTCGATTAGAATTCTTTTGCTGTTCGATGCAATGAAATGCTTTTAATGTAATCTTCTACAGTCTTAATCCATTATTTGTTGCAAAAAACAAGGAATATTATAGTTTGTACATACATCTAAAGTCAAAATTATGTCTATATAGTATAATATATATATATATATATATATATATATATATA